TCAATGAACTCCTTTTGGGACGGAGATCTTTATAATCTGTTACCTGTGGCCACTTCAGAATTATTTATTGAATTTGTGGCGCAGCTGCCAAGCTGGTGGTCGTGGGTTCCATTCCTGCAATCCACAGATAATTGTTCGGATCTGTTTCTGTTCGGACTCATGGAGGGTTAACGACTGACGTCAAAAAACTTTGCCAATGCCATTATACGGTTAAAAAAAGTAAAGAAATGTAACAGCCTATATGTGTCCCACTGTTCTGCAAAGGCTTCTTATGAAAGCCGGTGAAGAGGAAGTATAACACACCACGCGTGATGTGGAAGTGTCTTCTTTCGTCTAGTGACTGTGGTAGCCGGGGCCCACTTTATTATAAAGTGGCAATGCATCTGCAACCCTACGGCTGTTGCAAATGTCAATGGGCGGCGGTTATTACTTAACTCAGGTGAACCGAATACTCGCTTGCTACTAACATGAAAAAAAAAATACAACCGTATTTAAAACCGGGTACTCTCTGAAGTCTGTATAAAAATCTCCGTTGAATCGAACTCACCCACTTCACGATTAGGACAAGGAGCTCTGAGCGAAGGGAGACAATGGTCCATTATGTGCTGTTCAAATATTAAACGTAGTTCACATTAGCGTGATGTTGTTAACGGATTACGAAATCGCATCGTTCCGCGCGTCGCGTATCGCTCGAATCCCATAGAGTTCTGCGGCTTACGCCCACTCGGCGAAGCTGAACCAAAGACAGTGAATCACTTAGAATATCTATCATCTAATCACTCAGACGTCCAAGTCGTCGGCGTCACGGGGGATCAATCATGATAAGTACCGTCGTCTTCAGCCCTTTTCGCGAATTGAAATTTTCGAGAATCGAATTGGAAATCGGGGAGCGATTACGGCCCCAGGGTTGTCACTTTGCCCGTCGCGTCGATTGTTTACGTTTAAAACTAACTGATGACTTCGTCTGTTTTGCTTATTACATTTACAAACCCCTTGCCCCATTTTTCCACGACAAGAAAACACATCGCTGAACACGCTTGCAGATACGCATGCTTATAGAAGTCGTTGTTTCTTAACACTTTAACGACTTTACGCAAAAGTGAAGATATCAAAATATTTCTTTAGATACCACAAGTGTTTGTCTTTTTTTTCTTTTGTTGACATTGCTCTTACTGTAGGATAACATTATCCTGTGTTGCAAGGACGTTTTACAAATCTATATATATATATATATAAATAAATTTTCGTAATAATAAAAACAAAAAAAAATGAATATGCGTGAATTACGTCAACCAGCGGTGGGTCACGAAGTAGACTATGCCCTAACACCCCCTGTACAGAGGCCCTCAGCAGCGGGACATATATAGGCCGTTTTTGGATTACTCTTATTGGGAGTCTCACTACCCTCGGGCTCGGCGTCATCCGTCGTCAAAGCGGTCGAATCATAAATAAATTAGGTCCCGCCGCCCGGCTTTTTGCGCGAGGGACGCGCGACGCATCGGGAATGTCAACGCCGATTTACTAATTCATTTCGGCAAGACGACCCGCCTGCGTTTAGACGTGACGAGACGACGGGCGACACGACACGACGTGCAGCACGACACGGTACCGTGAAATCGACGTAATTGGATTTTAATTTGCCAACTACAAAAACCTTCCTTTGTGACAGGAGATTCAAATTTTAAACAATTGCATAATTCCTTGTTATTTTATATTTATTATTAGATTATTTCGTTTTTCATTAGTTAGTCATATTTACACGAAATATCATTACACATTAATGTGTGTCCTATGTGTAAAAATTGATAATATATAGAGTTGAATTGTAACGCGATATATACGTGGTAAATGCTACGTGTACAAGTTGTTGGAGTAACTAGAAAGTAACTCTTCATTCATTGTGTCATAAAAACGACACCATGAATGAGGAGCTACTTCAAGCTGAGGCAAACAAATACGCATATTTGTGTGATCATCATCCGCAAGAAGTCCACTGTTGAACATAGGCCGCCCCCTTAGAACGCCACAACAAACGACACAATGCCATTAGCATCCACCAGTTGCCCGCGCCTCTCACTATGTCGTCGGTCCATCTAGAGGGAGGCCTTCTTACTTATTTGTGTGAATCTAAATAAAAATTTAAATCCTGACTATAAGTATATTGAGCTCGTATCTTGTATTATCTGAAGTTATATTTTCAGTCCGGAGACTATATAAGCTTCATATAATACCTAACCCGTGAAAAATCTAGTTTTCACTAGATTGATGGACCTAACTCACGCATGTGTGTTACGCAAAACGGTTGCTATTTTATTTGTTGTAGAAGAAAACGTAACGAATATATCATAAAGATTTATATTATAATATATTGTTAGAAATAGAAACGATAACTGATTTTTACAAAGGAAGTTATTGGCCAGTATGCCAGACTACATATAAATTGAAATATTATCTAAGTAACCGACACAATAGTTATTAATTCGGGTAGAGCTTGAGCACGCTACCACGGCTGACGAAAAACTGAACGAACACGGTGAGCGCTGCTCGTTTAATTGCCCGTTACAGTGTTGCCATTCGATGTTTCGATTTATTTCTAACAATATTATTATGTATATTATAATCGTTTCGAATCTGGGTGTTTGTTCACGTGAAATACACGTATGTGAAACTTTCTTACAACACAGGATAATGTTATCCTACAGTAAGAGGCTACGTTTTCGAAGGGAAGACTAAAACAAACCTTCTAGGTCGCAGTGGTCTTTCCGGCTCATCCAACCCCTTCGTAACAAAATTCAATCCAAAATCTTCGGTTGTAAATGACCCCGTTTCTTACGGCTAACGGTATTAGACCTTTATAGTGTATATTTAAGTACTGGCACTGGGGTTTGTCTTGGCCCGTATTCGTACAATTCCTCGGGTGACTGACGCGTTCATTATTACGCCAGCGAAAAAGCACAATACGAAATTTCGCATGTCAACGATTTTTTACGCGGCGCGACGACGTTTATGAAATTACTGTATCACGTATGCTGTAGTGTCGTTTTGTTACGCTGTTACTGGGGTTTCATTTGACTTTGTGATTGTTTTTGCTGCTAAAAGGTGGCGTGTTCGATGTTAGGCGGTTATTCGAGCTGCGATATAAAATATTGATTTCCATTAAAAGGCGGGAGAAACACGATTATGTATTTATTTATTCTTGATCAAGCGAAGTGATGACGATTGATGCGTACGAAAAAAAATACTGTTTAATTACGAACTGATGATTTTAAAAAATAAACCTATATCCCTAAATAGGGTGTAAATTATATTTTATCAAACGTAAAAATACATACGATTGTATCTTTTGATTGCATAAACAAAAAACAGTTACAAGTAACGCTTTTATTGCTACTTGTAATCGCATTAAAATACACGATCTTATTATTAATATTATATGATAATAAAATTACTATACATTTAAGAAGATGGGTATGCGAATGAGCAGTTACTAGATGTTAAGACTAATCGCAAACAATGGACGTCATATCTGTGGGGTTGCAGATGCGTTGACGACCCTTAGATAAAGTGGTCCCCGGTTACCTCACTCCTTAGACGAAACGCGAAAGTATAATTACACTTCCAGATCACGCTGGTCTTAAGTGAGGTCGTGGTACTTCCCCTGACGAGGCTGCCCATTCGTGTGATAGCAGAAATTGTTTCAGGACCTTACTACTTCGTCACATTGTGGTCAGTGTCCGAGTGAGAAACCAGTGAGGACACGTCGTCCTGGGGAGCAGCGAACGGCATCATCGGCGAGTAAATGCGACGAGATCATACGAGAGGGGCGCTTTAACTGTGTAATCGGTGTTGGCTTTTGTTGTTGCCGAAACCTAAATTGTTTAACGTTCGCCCCCGCGCAACCAAATTGCTCTGTTATTGTGATGACGTGCGATTGTAATGACTTGTTTGTTCCCGCCTGTAATGTCATGTTGATCTTGATTTGAAAGTTTAGCGCGGTCTGCTGCATTCATAGACAGACCATGGCCACACAAAAAGTGCGGCCATGGTACTTGCTCGTTGGCCACTAACGAGCTAGCGGTTCACCTGATGTTAAATGGTAAACGCCGCCCATGGACATGTGGAACACACTGCCGCTGCAGTTGAAATAAATTCGGCTCCGGTGACCTCACTCACCAGACGCAAAAGTATAACACATTCACTTCACGCCGGTCTTCTGTGAAGCCGTGGTACTTCCCCGGACGGACTTGCTCACTCGTGCAACAGCGACGACATCGGCGCGGCCCTGCCACAGGAAAGAAACGAACCAAGAAGTAAAGAGAAAAGTACCTAGAAGACGCATTTTCGAGTCTGAACCAAATCAGAAACCGCGCCACCGATTCACAATCAACAATAATTATTTCCCTCACCCAGCCATCCGGGGGCCCAAGCAACCGCGCAACGGGAACGATCTGTGTTAGTGATAGGGCTGAAAGTACTCCCTTCAGGTCTGAAACGCTACACCAGCATTCTCATACACCTAAGTAGCGCGGCGGGCCAGGCTCGCTCTCTCACTCTTTAATCTTCAGAGCGGTCGGACGTCTACTAGATCCAGTTCTAAATCCAAGTGTAGTATCCATTTACTAAATGCCGTATGCCGTTTACTAAATCTATTCCAGTTCCAAGTTGTCCTAATTCAAGTGTATTATATCTGTTATACTTTAGGTTAATAAAATAGTTTATTTAAAAATCTAACCGCTTGTCCCGCATAATAGATCGATCACCGAAAACATCAATAGCACACAACAATAGTCGAACACCGACGCACCGAAAAGTCCATCAAATCGCTTGTATCCGATACGGGCAAGAAACCGCGCGAACGACGTACGAAACGTCGTGTCCTTTGTCCCGCTGTCAAAAACGCGGCTATCGATCAAAGGTCCCCCCCCCCCCCCCGCGTGAGCTGTCAAAACGCAATGATTGAGAGACGTGCGCGCTTTTGACATCTGCCAAATTTGGCGTTACGAGTGGCGGGAATGCGGGCCGTATGCGGCACCCGAGTGTCGCTTTCCCAGCGCGGGCTCACACTTGTAATGAGGCGGGAACGGAAAGTTTTCGGCCATGCTTAAGCGACGAGAATTTTTAGAACACATTGACCGCTCCATTGAGTTACTTGAGGTCGAGTCGCGGGCGTAGGCTAGTATAATATCGTCAGACAATGCGGCCATTCGTCGCCGCGTAATGGACGCGTAACTTAATACACACGCGACACGGGATACGCCATGTCAGAGTAATATCATGAATTTGAATACTTACACATTTCTTTTGAGTCTTTGGGCTGTGCGAGGATATTGGATCTTCCGCATAGACGAAGATGGCAATAGCTGATGCTATCTCTCTTTCGCCGGATTCATCAGACAGTGAGCTACAATACACCGCTCACAAAAAAGATAGTACGCATATACGTAAGAAATTTGCACGGTCACTCGTATTTGGTTGTTTGGTTTGGTTCGCAAACCCACCATCCCAACCTTCAAGCAAATACCGTCTAGAATATGTATTTTTTGTGCAAAAAGTTGGCGAGCGACTAGGTGACACCGTGGACGTCTTCAACAACAGACGAGTTGTCAATCGTGGGCCCCAATTACCTTACTCGTCAGAAGAAACTGGAAAAATAACACTTCCACATCATGCCGAGTCTTCTGCGAGGCCGTGGTTCGTAGGCCCGGACGAGCCTACACACTTTTGCAACAACAGTAGCTGCCACAGCAATGTAAAGTATGAAGTGTTTGTCTAAATCAGGTCTAGTGGCAAACTGAAAAGTTATTATAATTATAACTGGATTCACGCTAAAGATAGATACATACGTATGTTTAAAAATTGAATTTTTTTTGTTTTGTAATGCCAACAAAAAAACAATTTTTTTCTAATCTCTTGCTTATATACGTAACTGTTATAAAATTTGAATTTTATCGTATCCTTGTAGAATGCACCAACCACGGTAAATTATTATGTATCATGTAATACAAAAGTTTAGAATAGACTTATTAAATATTTTCATAGCTGAAAGAATTTTCTTTCTACATCTGACACCACCATATTTTCGCGGAGATTTGCAGGTCCGTATTAAAGCTTACCATCAAGTAGACATAAGCCTATTACCTCCGAAGTACGGCTTCGCAAAGTTGGATAATTTTAGAGAAATAAGCTGTGCTAACCCCTTCGAATAAGTTCATTCACATTCATACACAATTATCTAGTCAGTCGGACGTAAGCTTCTAACGTCGGCTTTAAAAATACAGTCAAATTTTAACGAATTTGCAGAGCCGGATTTAGGGGAGGGCAACCGGGGCTACTGGCCCGGGGCCTCCACAAAAGAGACTGGAAAAAATAAATTAAATTCAGACTAGTAAAAACTAGTAAACAACTTTACCTATTACTTAAAGTAACACTACTTTCACAATACTTTACGTGTATTATTTTCGCGATGTACCTTTACCCACGGTACTTAGTACAAACATGATTACATTAAATATTAACAGAAAACAATGGAAAATAATTTGGGGCCAAGGGGTCTTCACTCCATTGTTGCCCCGAGGCCTCCAGACCTCTAAATCCGGCCCTGCGCATTTGTACCTAAAGCTTAGCTCTGTGGGACATGTGTCGACTTTTCCTAACGGTTGACATAACCTGCGAAATATAATCAACGGTAGCTTCTAGAAGCATTTGATAATTTTGGCATTCTCACTTATCGTCTGGTGAGTGAGGCAAATGTCGACCCAGCCTTTTTAAGGCCACACTGTTTCACTTTTTCTGCCTCTTTGGAGTTGCAAAATCAGGTATTAGGTGGAGCGGTTGCAACTTTAACACATCCTCTTAAAAAGGAAAAGACAAATTCCATTCATCTGTTGAAAGCAAGTTTATATAAGGATTTAATCTCATATCCTCAAATGCCAGGATTCCGAGGCAACAATATTTTCGACGCTTACAAATAATTTCCTACAGCTGTGTCGCGTTTCGAGTCATTGATTTCAAAGTCAGAACTTCCGAAATAAAGAAAACAGGGAAGGCGTTAAGCCGAATTCGCAACATAAGATCCTGATATTGACTTTATGGGTTCGGTACCATAATTCATAAAAACGGCAAAAAAAAATCATGTCTTAATATGGGAGCTCAACTTAAATGTTTTTTATTCTATTTTTAGAATTTGTTGTTATAGCGGCAACAGAAATACATCATCAGTGAAAATTTCAACTGTCTAACTATCACTGTCTATCAGATGCAGCCTGGTGACAGACGGACAGACAGACAGACTGAGAGACACACAGACAGCGGAGTCTTAAGGCCCATTTACACGGTGCCAGTTTCTTGCCTGTTGTATACAATTAAATTGAAGCAATAAATAAGTTGCATGGTCTAAACAACAAATGGTCTAACCAATTATTGCGCGCAATTTATTGCATTCAATTATTGCTCTTGCATGTACAAGAAAATGGCATCGTGTAAATGGGCCTTTAGAAATAGGGTCCCGTTTTACCCTTTGGGTACGGAACCTGAAAAAGTTTCAAGTCTAAGCCGAAGGACAATAATTGCAGTTGCACGCTTCACAGAGATAGCCACAATGGCAGGTCACTCTGTCTGTCTGTTTGTGAGACGAATGTGCATGCGTGGTCCGCCCTAGGGCACAGTGTGTGCGTCCAAACGTTTCGATACGATCTGACATTCTGAATTCTGAACATTTACAACGGTACAATCCGGCAACGGTACAAGCAATTATCGTTCGTGTCTGTATGATTAATCCGAAATTCCAAACCATTCCAGTGCTAATACGCCATTATTATGTTAGCGTTAATAAAATAAATAATTACATTCCTAAAACAAACATTCTAATGCGAGTTTGATAGACAAATGATGCGAGTTTGATCACTCCGTGGCACAGTTGCCAAGGTATTGGCTTCGGCGTCGGGGGTCGTGGGTTCGAGTCCCACACGGGACAACTATTTGTGTGAACCACAGTTAGTTGTTTCGCATCTGGGTGTTTGTCCACGTGAAATTTATGTTTGTAAAACGTCCTCACAACACAGGATAATGTTATCCAAAAGTAAGGGCAAAATGTTTTAATAAAAGAATTTAAAAAAACATGTTGAAAGATTTTCGACGCTGACAGGATTCGAACGATTTTAAAAAACGAGTCTTAATTTCATTCATCAAAGAGGAAAGACCTATTTCTCACCGGAAGCGATCAAATAACGTAGGGCAGTTGCGATATTACAGCAACCGCGAGGTGAATTTCAATTGAAAAGCGTTCCGTATGCAATTATTCTATCCATTTCTTTGATATTTAAATAAATATATATAACAAACGGTAATTTTTGGTTTTTTGGATCAATAAAAAACGAAGGTAAAAGTGAATAATTAAACAAATGTAAAAGCGTAGACAACTCACGGCTTCCAATCGTATGTGTGATCTTTACTTACCCAGTGCCAGATTAAGCAAGCGCGGGGCCCGTAGCAAATTCTTTCAAACAGCCCTTGATTTGATTTTTTTCTTATGCGAAAAGTTGCCAAGCGAGCAGGCGGTTCACCTGATGTTAAGTGAATACCGCCGCCCACGGACATCTGCTACACCAGAGGGTTACAGATGCGTTGACAACCTTTTGAAGATTGGGCTCTGGCTACCTCACTCACCAGACGAAACGCGAAAGTATTTATTATACTTCCACTTTACGCCGGTCTTCTGTGAGGTCGTTGTACTTACCCGGACGAGCCTGCCCATTCGTGCAACAGCCGAGGCTGCTGCGTGGCCCTAACACAGTTATGCTATGGGTTCTTAAGTGTAAAGTGGTAAAAAAAACAATTCAATACTCTTACATACTTAATAAGTTTCACTCAAGAAATTATGCTCAGGCAGAGAAGACTGGGTTTAAATGCGGGGCCCCTTTCGCGCGGGGCCCGTAGCTATAGCTACTCTTCCTATGTAGTTAATCCGGCACTGCTCGGACCTACACCGAGACCAAGAGTCACCTTCTCAGCTAAACTGAACCCTAGCGAGCTGATTTATTTTCAGACATCCGATGGAGCGTCCGAGCGATAAGATCTGATCAAGTCGATTGCAATGCCAGCCACATCAGAGATGTTACAAATTACGGCGGATGGTGATTAATTCGTCGAGATTTCTACTAAATAATGTTACGACATTTTACCCAACTTAAGATCCGTAGCCAAAGATACATCCATACTGAGAACTTTCTTGGATTTTTTTTGGAAAATCGGGCAAAGCCTAATGGAATATGAGAAATTTGGATGGGATATAATATTTACATCGTCATCTTTATTTCACAGGATAAAAAAATCGCGAGTCGTCGTTCCAGGCCGCTTGGTTACCATTTTTTCAATTACCTCACCGCTTACCATTTGTGGTAATGGCTCAATTACAAAATTCTCCTTTGCACTTAATGAATGAACCAATTTATGAGCGTTACAACTCGTTTTCTTCAACTTTTAAGGTAGGCAGCGTATCTGCAACTCCACGGCTGTTGTAGATGTGACGTTAAACACTTAACATCAAGTGAACCAGCTGGCTTTCCACGTTCTGACATTATCACATCTTTCGCTTTTTACCGCCTTTACTGATTGCTGATCATAAGGAACGATGCAATTGTTGCTGGTAAATCGTCCAGTAGAAGTATCAAGAAGCCATCCATTCTGGCCCTGAAGACAATTCTAGTGAATGGGTTTTATACAAAATTAACCCACAGTCTCTAGGTTATTGGGTTTCGTTGAAATTACTCTGTGCCTACAGCAAAACGAGTGCGTTGCGCAATATTTTGAAACTCAAACGCGCGTCACGCGTATGCTACCAAAACACCAATGTTTAGACATAGGGCACGCACTGTATTTTGAAAGGCTCAGTTCATTAGGAGGTCTTGGCTTCTATACAGGAAATATCAATATCGGGTTGCGTTACATGTCGGACAGGGAAGGCGTCCTTCGCTAACTAGATTTGCACTTGCTTTGGATCGGTTCAAGGTTCTATTCTGATAGATTCGGGAATTGTTGACTGACGTTGAGCGAGGTCTAGACCTCGCTGATTAATAAGTGGTGTTTTCGGTTCGACGTCTTAATTTTTGAGTAGATAGTTTAGATGTTTTTTACGACCCGTCAAACATGTCCAAACTTGAAGCAAATAGTAAATATATATCTGTAAGTATACTCTCAAGGAATGATT